ACTGGTTCCAGTCGTCCTCCCTCCTATCCTCCTGAGGTGAACTGCACTGGCATCGAGTATGCGGTCCCCTCAGTTGCTGAAGTCGGTGGCCGGTGCCGCGTTTGGAAGAAACCCCAAGGATTGGAGGTCACGGTGGACCTCATTGGTTTCAGTTGCTGGAAGTACAACCACACGTGCCTTGCCTGAGCATAGGGTTCTACGGGCCCGTTGAGGCCTGTCTCAGTGGTGTTTTTTTGTTTTTCCTGGGTGGTGGTGGAACCTTCTTTGGAAGGTGTTGATCTGAAGGATGTGAATCAGACAGAGGGGGTGAGAGAATTGGCTCAAACAGTGAAATCACACATTTTGCACGCCCCACGTTTTTCTGTGAGATCCTTCCAACAAAAACATCCACGGGAGTTTTCTTTATTTTTTTGAGGCAAGAGACTAGTCGACATGGTGGGGGATCGCACATGCCGCCCAGAAGAGGTGCTTGGAGGATGGTGCAGGTTTTGCTCGGAAAAGAAGACGGGCAAAGAAAGCAAGAAAGCAAAACCTTTGAAGACTCTCTTCAACATCGGCCTTGGACCGATGTGATGTTTCCGCCCAAGTTTTGGGGGTTTCGGCTGGATGGTTTTCCAACAAAAAACACAGCTTTGCATCCCCCTGTGGTGAAGATCAGCTATATATGTTGACCTACTGAATGTGGTTCCCAGGAGGATAGTGATAAGTGTGTGATCAGCGTGATTTTTGTTTAGCTTTTGGAAGATCTAAAAGACTTACCACTCTCCATCCATCGAGAACTCTACGTATTCTGAGGATTTCAGCTGGACACTATTGCAGCAGATGGGTCCGCGTTGGGACATGCCAACGGCTGCACGGAGATTGCTACAAATGCCTCCAAGAGTCGCCCCTTAATTAAGCCATTTTTGTGGATGCTACAAATGTGCACATTTTGGCCGATTTGGACGCTGGATTGGTCGCTAGGGACCCTGGTAAAGATCCTCAGGGTTGCTAGCGGCGGCGCCGAATTCAAGCGAGGATTGCTCTGTAAAAAGATCACCGTCGCCCCAAACCGCGCCAAACGATGTGTCACGGAGTGGAGCAGAGTGGTAACGGCAACCTTCTCAACATGAGAAGGGCGGTGACAGGGACTGCGTCGGTCGACCACGGTCTGCCGCTGGTCGGAGACCAAATGAAAGATGCTTGGAGAACGGTGCTGGTGAACATTATCGAAGATTTAAGCTATTGCAGGGCCATTCCCACCTGCTTTTTTGTTTGTTTGTTTGTTTGTTTGTTTTTGTTCACAGTTTTTGTGTCGCACTCCACAGTGACTGTTGGAAACTGTTGGAAAATCACTGAATGCTTTGAATCATCACGCGCATTCCGGTTTCGCCACTGCCCTGTAGAAGTTCTGATTAACTTTTCAAAGCAGTATGTTGTTTTTATATTCATCTAAAGAAAAATCGACAGGAAAGCAATCCTTTAGCTGGGGACAATGCAAGTGGGTAGTGAAAACCCGCTTCTACAGGGTTCCTGTAGACCGTATATAACCGTATATAGATGTTTTGCAGAAAACTTCAAGTCCAGCTCCGACGCTGTCTCGTGAGTTTTCAGGGAAGCTTTCATGGACACTGGACACTGAACACTTGAAGATGCACACTTCAGGATGGCCGTGATGATTTGTGTCATTTGTTGGTCCAGCTCAAGCTGCCTCGTGCGGTGTTTTCAGCGAAGTTTCCATGGCATGGACACAAGAAGACCCAGCCTATGAAAGCTCCGTCCCAATGCTTGTGTGGTGGTGGGGCATGTTAAATATTAGAGGCCGTTCCTTGTTGATATTTGCTATAATTCTTTGCTAAAGCATTGCTTTCTTGCTGCCTTTTGCCAATCCCATTGCCAAACTTGGGACTACTTGTCAAACTCACTTTTCTCACCTGCAAGGCAATGTTTTCTGACATACTAAGTTTTTTTGTGGGCTGTATTTAGCGGATGAAGTGGGGACATAAACACCAACAGCAGTTCTTTTCACCAACCGTGATGACCCCACTGTGTGATGACTACTTTTCTTCCCGCAGCGCCCCACAAACGATCGCAGTGATCCACTGGGTATGACCAACGAGATGACTGAAACCCCTCCATCCACTGGGGGCCTCAGCCTCGACCTCCCCACTGGGTGGTTTGACCTCTTCGTCCCCGGACTCCCCAGCCTCGACTTGCCGGACGCACTGCGGCGACCCTATGGTGCCATGCGCACGATCTACACACCGCCGGAGGTGGGAGAGGGCAGCGGAGTGAGTTGAGCCCCGAACATGAACGTACATAGACGACCAGATAGATTACCAGACATGGTGAAGCTATCAAAGATATGGTGAAACTCTGCGGCTGTCAGGATCACTAGACCCGCCGAGGAGGTCATTTTTGTCCGAGGTTCTTCTTTGCAAGGCACGTTTTGGTAGCAACGATGTGCTTTTTTTTGCAACGGTGAATTCGAAGCTACCAGTACAGGGGATGTTCTACCCACTTTTGCGTAGCTTACATTTGTTTGGGCTAAGATCCAAAGCTGAAGAACTCTTCGAAACTGCTGAGGTGAAGCTTCTCCAATGGATGCTTCTGTGCTATTCTCTTGATTTGTGTGTGCCCCTCCGTGTCCGTCCTATGGGCTGGTTCTCTCTTTGGCTCTGAAACCAAAAGGGTGGACCCTTTAATGTCTATTTATTCACGCAGCCGAATGTCTCGATTGAATCTTAGTGGTGCATGTTGAAGCACGGCTAAGACACGACAAGGAAGCCAAGGCAAAAGGGTGGACTCAACACAATGTCTTTCAGAATGTGCGCCACTATTGGCTGACTCCGTGAAAGTCGACATCTACCCTCCCTCCAACTGCTCATGCTTTCGTGGGGCCTCATCCCCTGTTTGTAGAGGAACAGGGTCTTTAGAGGGCCATGTAGGGAGTGGGTGGTGCTGACCAAAACACCAGGGTCACTCGATCTGACCATTGGGCCCCCTCCCCCTCTGGGCCCCTGGGGCCTTGGGGTTTCGGCATCGTGGCGGAGCCGATGTGAAGAGGATGGGATCATTCTGTGTTCGTTTCAGATGGCAGACGGACAGATCGGTCATCGTTCGTTTTGGTGGCATGGGGCACGGGGCACGGGGCATGGATTGGACCAACCGTTCAGCAGGTCTATGCTCGCCCAGCCAGGCGCAGTGTGGCAAAGCGGTGTGTGGGAAGGGGTGGGTGTTCCAGAGGCCGAAGCGGTCGATGGGGGCGATGTGTCAAACGTCTAACGCCTCGGCTGAATACCTAAAGGGCTTCGGAGGAATTCAACCCAAACACTCCATAGGACTGCCATATATGCCGCCCCATTGACGCCCCAAACCACCCCAATGTAGGCAAATATCGCATACATGGAGTGTTTCGGCTTTTGGCTTCTGGGCCATCCATTTGTTGTGGGTCTATAAGCCCTGGCAACTCGTAGACCCCTGGCCCGCTGGAGGGCCCGATGGTAGAAAGGAGCTGATTGATACCCATCAGATGTCAGAGATTGGAGTTGATTGGAGACCTTTGTTGTTTTGAGTCATAAGGTCTCACATGAAGTGGTGACTGCGTGCCAGAAGCAACGTCCCAATAATGGTTTCGAGAACCCCTGAATAGACCCAGAAATTCACTGATTGACCGTTTGGTTGACCAAACTAGCCATCCGACATTGCTCGGGGAGGGCACATGGACTTCAACAACTTGCACAATTCGTCCTCCCTGACTTGGTCATTCACTGGGTCCCCCGAAACCCATCAGAATAGGGAGAAAAACCCTTCGGACGCCCTTTCCAGAAGGAAAAAGAGTTCACAACCCATTCGTGGAGGGTTTCACCTTTTCTTCGCTGCATGACGGCTAGTCTAGCAGGGGGATTTTCCTATTTTAATACACAACTCCCTCTCGCTCCTGAACTCGGCATCCGCTTACGCGCGCAGGACGCCAGGCCAGCCCAACCGCCAGGCCCGAGGATGGGTTCAATCGTCAAGGCTTAAATGATGCCGGAGCCGGGGAGGAGGGGAGCCGGTGGTTGGCAGTATTAGCAAGAAAGCCTGGGAAATTTGACACATACAGAGGATTACGTGAGTTGACGATTTGGGGCAAGGCCATGGCGGTGTTTGTGTTCCCTGTTCTGGGAGAACGTGCTCTTTTTTTTAAACCTGCCCTGGGCACGGACGGCTGCCGGTCCCTCCCGTTGGCGAGAAAGTGCTCTGCGAGCACAATCATTGCTCTTACTCCCTGGACCAGTCCACACAAAAGGGAGCGAAGGGTGTGTTTGGCAATGGGGTTCTCCCAGTCAAACGTGGAGAAACTCCCGCTCAGATTGAGCATTTGGCATTTGAAGATAGTATTTGCCTCTCAGCCCTTATTTGAGCTCAGAGCTGATGATGTCTTCCAAAGACACGCACCCGAGTTGCAAAGCCGTACGAGAACCCGATTTCAAGAACTAACCGTGTTTCGTCAAATTTGAGGGCCCCTGCTGACCTGATCGTGATCGTAGGAGTTCTAGTCCTGTTCATAGGAGGCATAAGATTCCTCCAAGTGTGGTGCCGCTTTTAAAGTGGTTTCCAGCTCCTCTTCCATGAGCCACAAGCTGGTGGCCCAACGCGCAGCTTCTAGGCTTATGAGGACAGCTATGGAGAAGTGTTAGAAACGAAGACTCGGAGGTCCTCTCAGTGATTCAGCGATGGTTTTGGGGGTTTAGGCAGACGTGGGCCTTGGAAGATTATGGGAAGCTTACTAGTTGGTGTTGCCAAGCCTTTGATGCAACATCTTCAGGGGATCAGAAGGTTATTTTAATCCCGCACAAGGGAGCTCAGCAGAAATCGCCGCATTGCTTGAACAAAAAGACTTCCTGAAGATGTGTTTGTGTACCGTACCAACCTGCCAAGGGTGGTATCAAAAAAAGCACTACTACTCACTACTCCACATATCTGAAACAAGAGGATCGGAGACCGACACCGACACCTTCTTCACAGCGACGGTTTCACGGAACTCCCGTGCTCTGAGAACAGCGATGCCTCTTTAGTCGATGAATCGATGCATGTCGGGTGCCCGATGGGAGAACTGCCGCCCATGAAGAGGTGCCGAAAAGGGGGACCATGGCACAGTGGAAATGAAGGTGGTGAATACACGTGATATTCAGGGTGATCTTGATCTTCTTCTTCTTCAGTTTTTTTTCGAGTCTTCCTTCCTTTCTTCCTTCCTTCCTTCCTTCCTTCCTTTTTCCTTCATCATAGATCTTCTTTCTCTCTTTTTCTCGTTACCTTTCTTGACCTTAGTCTGGATTTCCTCCGTGCTGCCTCTCATGCTCGCACCAAGGTTCACTCAGACCCTTTCACTCTTCTCCCCAGACGCTTCAACGGGACCTTCCGGTCGACCCGCTTCGACGGACGACCAAAGGGACGACCGGTCGGGACGGGATCTTCGGCTCCAGGTCGGGAGGTCAGCTGAGCGACACCGAGCCTCGGCGGAGATCGGGACGGGAAACGTCTCCTTCCAATCCCAACGGCCACCCAGTGAGCTCGACCAAGGCGGCGGACGGGTCGACCAAGCGCCGCAGAAGCGCCGGTCACGCTGACAGCACCAGCCCCGCGGCGCTGGGCAGAGCGAGTCGACAGATCCTGGTCGGAAGCCCGCGCGAGCTCTTCCGCGAGGCCTTGGACCTCACGGGCAGGTGCGCCGCGCCGCCACGTGGAAAGGGGACTGCGACTGGCTCGCAGTCTGGTTGCGTTTAGGAGTTCCGCACCCTGGCTGAGCCACCTCAAGACGAGAAGATGGTCTTCCACTGGGCATTTGTGTCTTTCTTTTGAGCTCATAATTAGGTCAAAAGCCTGTTGCACAGCCTTTCTTTTAGAAGCCATTTCTCGTGGGTATGAGGATGTGAATTTCCCACCAGCAGAGGAGAAACGCGTCCCTCGCAGCTTGTGGGAAAAGCCGAGCCCTTTTTGCGGTCCCAAGCGCGAACGCGCCAGGCTCCTGGAGAAAGGTCTTCGTGTCCTCTGGGTCTCCAGGCAGGTGCGGAGCCGCTGGGAGACCCTGCGGCGTCAGCTCTGCGAAGAAAGGCGCGCTCGGAGTCGGTTCGACTCGTTCGGAACAGGCGGAGGAGATGCATGGCACGGCTGAAACGGGGTGAACTTGGGTGGGGAGAAGGCTGGATTGATGATTGATGTAGGTCCGGTGCAGTGACCCTGGTTGAAAAAGACCCTTCGCCCTCTGCAAGATGGTCTTCAAAAGCCCACTCTTTTGCGAGCGAGCTCGAATTCGCGAGCGATCCGCTGGAAGAAGTCCGTCCGGTGCTCGAACCGGGTGGCTCGAGCTTTCGCTCTTTCGTGCTGGAGCTGGCCGTTTTTTGGGAGCTTCGAATGTCAGGTATCCCATGGCCATCAGCCTTCAGCTTCAAGATCTTCAAGGTGGTCAGCTTCAGCCCTTGCAGATCACCCATCCAAGCTGCTTGTTGTCGCATCTCCTGCAAGGCACCAGAAAAACGGAACGCCGTGAAGGGGTTGGCTAAGCAGACATGAAATCCACCATCGACCCAGGCGGGAGATATCCTGTTGAAGTGGGCTCTAGGTCAAAACCCAGACACCAAATAACACCATCGGGTCATGTTCAGAAGGTCTTGGAGCTCCTGGGCCACGACGCACTGCCACGGAACCGGAGTCCCACACCAATATTGATCCTTCCTCCCATGCTGGATTCTTTCCCCCCACCTGGACAAGGCCGCGATCTGAACTTTCATCTCATCTTCGACAACTGCGGCTTCTCCTTCGTCACGGAAGCCTGTTTGGCCTTGCTCCGCCAGCCGCACTACCTCCTGCAGCCCTTCCCCGGCTCCGACGACGAGCACCACTGGCTGCGCGCTGCCTCCGCGGCCAGCAGCGCCCTGCGGGTGGTGTGGGCGTTGCGGCCGCGGAGGCTGGTGCCGCTGGCGCCTAGCTGCTCCATACTGAGCGTGGTGGGTGAACTGTTGCGGAAGAAAAATGAAGTGCTGGTGGTCACCGAGGAGAATGTCCCTGATATTCTTTGTATCTGAAGATCTCAAGTTCGCTTTTGGAGGGTCGGAGGGGAGGAGTTTAGAATGCAGGATGCGAGAGCTTAAGCAGGAAAGGGTGTTTTCTGTGTTGTCTCAAGAGTGTAGGATCTTGAGGAGATGGGTAGGGCCTCTCTTTTCATCTCCACAAAACATGAGATCCTCGACAGCAGTCTGCAGGATACAGAGGAGGTCACAAGCCTCAAGAAGAAGTTGTCGAAGCTGAAGAGAAGTCCATGTGGCCTGGAAACAGGGCTTGGCTCAGAGATGCAGCTTGGCTTGGAGATGCAGCCGGGGGAGAACAATGAGTCTTATTCCACAAGACAAAGAAGCGAAGTATGGTGTTGGATGCGAACACAGACACACGTGCGGTCTACACGGGTGGCAAAAGGGCACTTGGCCACGAAGTGTTGCAGTTTCAACCAGAATGGTTTAGTTTAGTTGGTGAGCATTGTATGCCGAACAACTGCATCAATGCGCTATTGTCCGCAGAGGTGGGTCTTGGACTGCGACAGCTTGCAGTTCGAGGCGCGACGCTTCAAAGTGATCCTGGCGACCCAGGTCACCTCCACCCAGGCGAACGAGACACGGGCGGACATGGGATGCTGAGTGGAAGAAGATAGCTTCAGAACCTCATGGATTTTTGTGTCCAGAAGTCTCTTCAGAAGTCTTGTCAGAACCTCCCAAGTCAACCATCTCTGACCGACAATTTTTTCGTACAGGCCTGGCACCAAATTCTCGATGCGCTCGAGGATGACGGAGATCCTTGGACGCATGTGTATATAGGCGATAGTCAGTGGAGGGGATGTGCTCTTCCATGAAGGCCATGCGGAAAAGGACGAGAACACAATTCCAACAAGTACTCTAAATCGAACAGTCCTGTGCTCTTCTAAACCTCCTGCATATGGCCGCACAGATTTTTCTTTTGGAAACACGAGCACCGAGAATCCTTTTCCTTGTTTGACACAATGAACCGTGTCCTTTTGGGTTCAAAGGATGCTCATAAGGAAATAGCCGGAGCTTACTGATGCGATGTTGGGCATTGGATTCCCAGGTTCAGAGTTTTAGGGGAGTTCGTTTGGTCCGTTTCTCCGACAAACAGTTCTTTGGCTCAGGAACTTTTTGAATACCAATGCAGCCAGTCAGCTTCGGAGATCGAGAAGCTCGAGCACCTCTTTGCTTGGCTGGATAGAGATCAAGAGACGCTGGGCCAGACATGGGACCCGTCGCCAATGCTGGGCTTGTCCGTCGCCTGGGTGTTCAGCTCGACCTCTTTCAGGCGCATGGGGTCGTTTTGCTGGACGAAGCCTGCCCCCCCCCAAGTCGGCGGGTGGTAGGCGGACATCAGTTGGAGCTGATTGGCAGGTGGGAAAGCATTGAAACTGGGGGTCATCACTCCTAGAGAGAATGGATCATGAATGAGAGTGAAGGGTCTTTTGTTTTTGGGAGCTGGACTCCTGCTTGGGAGCAGAGCTTAACGTTTCTGCATCAAACTAGGGGCCACTGCAAGGTAAGTGAATCTTCTAAATAGGTACTTCCGTAACACAATGTAACACAATCAGACGACTTAAAGTAAAGGAAAGCAGATGTGGCAGGACGTCCTCAACTGCATTCCAATACAACCTGCGGGTTGTGATTGCTCCACATTTAACTTCTAACACATCTACTACCATTCTTCCTCCGGAGATCTACAGTTTCCTCCCCCCTGGTCTTCTTCACTCGTCCCGTTCTCCGTTTTCCGGCTCATCTGCACTTGGGGCTCGCTCTTCGCGCCCTCAGGAAGCGCTCGACGGAGGCGCCCGTACAGGCGCTGGTGGTCGAAGAGGACCGGTGTCGCATCCCAGGAGCGGCAAGACGGGAGAGTGGTGAGACGGGGGGAAGCCTCGAGGTGACTGGGACGGGAGGGGAGATCACTGTACGAAGAGACGACATGTGTTCGACTCAAAAAGCCAAATATAATATATAGTAATGTATGCTTTGCCATGGGGTCCTACCTATTTGTTGCGCATATTTATATACACATTTCCAGCACCTTTCAATTGGTCGCCAATGGAAGCCCCTACACCCCGAAAGGAAGGTCCAGGTCTATTCTTTCGGCTCATCCTCCGCAGAGTGGGACTCCAAGAAGGACCCGGTCGAGGTCGCGCATAGCTGGTCATGACATGGGTGCAATGGTGTGTCAGAACCCACTACCGAACCCAATTCCTGTGGAGACTTCAGAGACCTGATGAGCTTCGACTTCTACCCCTAGAAGTCGTGGCCCACCATTGTTTTAATCGCCTGAATCCCGAACAACCATCGTTTTACTGAGGGTTTTACCCTACAAAATCAGATCGTTCCCATTTTCAACATGGTCGACTGGACTTCCAGAAGTACAGCATTTCTTGGCGCGGAAGAAGGAGAGTGGCAAGGTCACCAAGGTCCGGAACGGGTTCGACACGGGCGGAATTCCCGTCTCGTTCCGGAAGGGGTCCGAGCTTCGCCACGCGCAACTCCTCGTCCATCCTCCCCCCACGTTCGCATCGCAGCGCGGGCGGACGTGGTTTCGGCCGACCGGTCAGGCTGCCTGGCAGATGCATTGGTCACGCAGTTTTTTGGCCATCCGAGACCTGTGTGGTGTCGGATGGAAAGCGTTTCACCCGTGTTCGAGGCCGAGGCCTATCACACGGAAAGCCATTCCTGGCAGGTGCGCTCCGGCGAGTTTCGGGGGATTGCTTTCGGAGGTTTCCCAGGCGTGAAGGCGGCACAGAAGAGCGGATTGCATTGTGCAGGAAGATTGATTGGATGTGCCAAACATGGGAAGCTTGAGGCTTGAGGAGCTGTTAGTTCCGGGTGTCCCTTTTTCTCGCATTGTTGGGGCATCCAGAGCTCGGGGAAGAGGTTTAGGCAGTGGTTTAGTTTTGCATGTCGTTGGGGTTTACCATACTCACCGATAGCGGTTTTTGGGGGTGGTTCTTTTTGCTCCAACCTCGTAGTCCACTCATCTACAAAGGTTTTCACCAAGACGAAGACCAATAGTTGATGGCCTCGACCCCTAACCCCAGAGAGGGGGTCCATGTCTTGGTTCCTGCTTGACTGATTGGCACTTTCACCCCAAATCCGGCTGTACTTTCAACCAAAGCCAGGCAGAGTCATCTGGAGTCATCTGGGATATTCACCATGATTCTGATCCAGTTCATCTTCCCACACTCCGAACCACCAACGCACCGAAGATCTTCGGCCAAAGCCCGGCGACCGAAGACCGCCCGGTACCGAGAGCACTAGCAGCACTGGCAGGTGTGTCCTTCCAAGTGGCGTTCGGAGAAGATGGCTCGAAGGCATGCGGCCTCGGAGATTTTGAGAGGCTGGACGAATGCAGGCGCGAGCACGTGCGCCGGTCTGTAGTGCAGACGGTCTGCAGTTACCCATCGAAGCCAACACCCAAAGATGTAAATGCTAAAGGTGCTCGAGTTCCACTAGCGGCACACGATGGTGCTCTTTTATGGGAAAGGATTTTTCGAACGCCCTCAGCAGCAAGAACGGTCAAATCCAGCTGTTTCCCCACCTCGCGAGATGTATCAAGAGGAAGATCGGACGACAATCCCTCGACGCTGTGACTGAAGCTGTGACTGAAAATTCACCTCTCATAACCTGCGCTCGACTCCAAGCTCTAACCCGCGGGCTGACGAACAGTCATACGAGAGACGAGAGCGTGCGAGAGACGAAAGAGATCTAGCCGGGTCAGGCCGGCTGGCACCAGTGAGGTGTCCAAGTGGCGGAGAAGTTGTTGGAGCTCTTCAAAGAGAACATGACGTGTCCCTTCCTCTTGGAGTTTTACATGACATTGCGGCTGCCACCCCTCCAACCAGAGGTTGGACTGGGGGGAAGGCGGCGAAGCTGGGAAAAGTGGGTGGATCTAGTTGTTTGGTGGATCAAGTGAAGACGCGTCTTCTTCCAAAGTGAAGGCAGCAAGATGACCCTAGTACTTCTGGCATCTTAGGGCACCCAGTATAGTCTACTGAGCGTCTGCTGGTACCATGGAGGATACTCTTGTGGGCCCTCTCAAAGCTGCCTGAACAACAGGTCGAGCTCTATTCCTATGCGCTCCGCCTAGAAGATCAATCCTTTGCGCCTTTGCTCATCATCTCTGCGGAAGACTGGGGCAAAAAGCGGACGCACTTCTTGGAGGATGTGCCGGTACTTCTTGGGTCTAAGATTCACCAGAAGAGCATGGAGCTGGATGTGCAGTTTGCAAAGAAGCTTCGCTTGTCACCAGGAGAGATTCCGCGGGAGTGTGGATACTACTTTACTACGTGTACCATCTTGTACCTTCCGTGTACGCCGACGCGAAGCCGCAGGCGCGATCGGTTCGCGCTCGGTTTGCCCACGAAGCCCCACGAGTGGGGCGAGGTCCAAGGGCGGGGACCGGGGGTCGCCTGCCGGTCGCCAGCCGGTCTGGCCGGCACGGGTGATCCGGGTGGCGGTGGGTTCAGGTGAGCTGTGCCTCCATTTCTCAGAACATCACTGGAACCGGCACATACATCACCGATTTCGTAGGCTGAAGAACTCTTCTAGAGAAAAACCTCCGGTAAATGGCCTGAAGGAAGTTCCCCAAAGGATGGGCTGCCTTGTGATGCTGACGAAGCCAAGGCAATCTACAGATCTGGCCAAAACTTGGTGCCTTCTTCTCTGGGTGGCACTAAAGATGTTTACAGTACACACATCTGCGGTGGTTGAAAGGAGTTGAATTTTCCAGTTAGTTAGGCTAATCTTCCACAAGCAAATGCATTTGTTTGTGTTGAAGCCGGGCACACACTTCAATGTTTCATCAAGATCAGTCTTCTGTTTCTGCCACAACATGCCACAAGCAAACTCTTCCTGGAAGATTACCATGGAACCTGAACAGCCACTGTTCTGTTATTCTATTTTTTTGAGGAACCTGGTCTTTCAAAGCCTCCGACCTCGGGCGGTTCATCTCTGCGGTCTCGGGTTCTCCCAGGAGATCTTTTAGCTTTGTGCACCTGGACTCGAAAGATGTGGCGTGTTGTCTTTGACCCCTCCACCTGGCATCAGGCAACGACACGGAGCGAAATATGCTTCGTTGGAGCGCGCGAAATATGCGAGTGACGCTTCGTTGGAACGAAACGACGAAGTGCTCCCAAATCGGGGAGTGATGTGCATCGCATCAAGGAGGGGGTGATGACATTGATATACAAGGGGGGGTGTTTCATTGGAGAATTCCAAGAGATAGAGAGATAACAGATAGATTTCCCAACACATGTCGTCCCTGTATCTATTTTTACATGTTAAAGAGGTCTTCTAACATTCAAATGACCTGCGTGTGCAGCAGAATTTCTATACATTTGGCATGAATCATGCATTTGTCGCATCTAATCTATCATTATATACTGTAATTGATAATAATGATTCCGATTCCGACTGCTGCACATGTTTTTTTCTTCTTTTGTCTGGGGGTTCGCCTTTTGATGCCCAAGTATTCATGGAGCCTGACCCCTGTGATTAGTGGTCTACCACACCTGTCACGGCTGCAAGCTTTCTCTCTTTAAGAGTAACTAAGAGGTCTGGTCAGAAACAGGGAGAGGTCCTGAGGTCCTGCACCTCCAATCATAAACCTGGAGGAGCGGAAGAGAATCCTTTGATCCCCCCAACCATCCCGCCGAGCCCAAAGCCCGAAGCCCGAACCGAACGCCGGGTCTCTTTTCCGATGTGCTTCGTCTGCGGGTGACACGGCCGTTCCGAAGCGTTCATGCCGAAGCGTTCACGCCCAGTCCGGAGCGCGTCGCGGTGCCGGAGCCAGGTGTGCCCCAGGGAACCCGCTTTCGTGGTGGCTCCAAGATCGCCGATGGGTGAAGTCGATTTGGAGAAGATGAACGAGTGGATCAACCTGCCCGAGGACCGCAGCGACGAGTAGGGTTCGTGTTACCGTGACGAGTGGACCATGATACGTTAGCAGGTGGTGGGTCTGGTTGTTTTGTGTCGATCCAAAAATAATGAGGTAAATGTGAGGTGCTGAGGTGATCGAAGAAGTCTTGGGGCCATGGCATCACTCTGACGTGGGTTGCTGGGATTCGTGCTACTCCTGTCACAACAGGAGCTTGACTGAGCACCAACTCAGGATGATGTAGATATATGTCGTACATATTGTCAAAGCAGTCGCGTGTCGCATGTTCCGATTCGCACTTCTCTCAGGACGATCGTCCGCTGCCATTTCACTGTCAGGTGGGAGGGCAGGGTGGTTCTTGAGCCATCTCTCGCGGGTGTGGATCACCCAGTTGCAGGGCAACTTCGAGCCGGTGTGTGTGGAAAGAGCTGCGGACGTGGTTGGGCACAGGGTGCTTGGATAGAGTGTTTGGATCAGGGATCCTAGGCATTGCTTGTTGTTGAATTCACTTTCGGTTGGGTGTACCTCTTTGGATTGACCAGCCCCAACCGCCAGTCTCCAACACCAGTTGCAAACCCGGGGGGGTTTGTAATTGGTAGCGGAGCTACCTGGTTGGTCAAGACAGGGAGGAAATCTTCGATCTTGCATCACTTTGGGTCAACAGAACTTCACAAGTGTTCCGGGACATCAACAATTCTTGCAAAACGGACATTGATATCTTGACTTAGGACTGGATAGCGTGCTGCGTAAACATTGAGCAACAATTTTGCTTGGCTTAGAACTTGAAAGTCGTGTTGAGTTGGTTGCAAGTTGAGTTGATTGGACATTGGAAAACAGCGTGCATTGTCAACAACATTGTACATTGCTACTTGGTTGAGTTGATACATTGTACATTGCTGCTTGGTTGAGTTGATACATTGTACGTTGAGAAGCAGTTGTTGAACAGTTGATCCGGCAAAATGCCAGAAGGTGCAAGCACAACCACGCTTGACACGAGTGGCCAAGGAAACGCAGTTGTCGACTTTGATCCCGACATTCGATCCTGCCACAGACAACGTTGAGCAGTGGGCTCAGAAAATCGAGCTCTTGACCCATGTTTGGCCGGAAGGCAAACTGAATGAGTTGGCCACGAGAGGATCTGCTTTCGGAAAACTCCAGCTGCGACAGAAAGAACTGTTGGTTGGAACGAAAGAAGGCATTGCGAAGATCGTGCAGATTGTCGGTGGTCAGTTCGGTCGAGTGAACCTCGAGCAGAAGTTCGACCTGGTTGAGAAAGCATTGTTTCGATGTGTGCAGAAACCAGACGAAACGTCCGATTCGTTCCTGGCTCGCTGCGAAGTGGTTTGGACTGAGCTTCATCAAAAGAAGGTGAAATTGGAAGAGGTCCAGGCCTATATCATCCTCAGAGGCAGTCGCCTTGGATCTGAGGACAAAAAGCGTGTCTTGGTTGAATCAGGTGTTGAGACTCCAGGATCAGAACTGGAGATGTCGAAAGTTGCAGCCGCCATTAGGATGCTGGGGTCATCGTTTTTCCAGGAGTTCACTGCTGGAAAGAAAGAAAAGTCGATTAGGACTTATGATCACCATGCATTCGGAGCGGAGGAAGTCGAACAAGCTGGAGAAGAAGGACCTTGGGAGGAGGATCAGTTCGATGAAGAGGCATTGGAAACTCTAGCAGCTTTCGATGAAGACGCCTCCCTTGTGTTGCAATTTCAAGGAGCACTCCTCGACACCATCCAGGAGGATCAGGACCTCTCAGCCTTTTATGTGTCCTACCAAGATGCTCGCCGACGTCTCTTGGAGAAATCAAAGTCGAGAGGATTCTGGCCCATCAAAGGCAACAAAGGTAGCCGAAAAGGGAAAGGCAAAGGTTTCAAAGGTCGCTCGAAAGGACTTGCCCACCGAATCGCGAAATCGGCTTGTCGATTGTGCGGCCAGACCGGCCATTGGAAAGCAGAATGCCCTCAGAAGAAGACAGGGGCATCCGGATCTGAGTCAGGACAAGTTCCTACGTCGGTTGTCATTGATTTGGAAACCTCGCTTTTCGATATCCCTGAAGCCAATACCGAGCCTTTGAACGGGTATCGAGAGTGTTTTATGAGTTTTGGTATTCCAAGTCCATGTTTTCGTGAGAAATTGAAAACCCGACTCATGTACATCCCGGCGCTCAGGAAGAAGCTCGCTCAGCCGACCATTTTGGTCCCACACCGTGAGCCCGTGAAGCCTAGTCCGCCGGTTGCCGAATGGTCAGCAGACTCCGAAGTGAGTTGTTTCGCCTCGACCGGCACAGTAGGAGTCGGGGGCATCTCAAACAGTCATTGGAAGTCAACAAGTCCCCGAACTTTTGGAAAACCTACCTGAACATATCAGAAAGCAAGTAAAGAAAACAAAATGCAACCTGACATTTCGCTTCGGAAATCATCAAACGCTGTCCAGCTCGGTTGCATTGATTTTTCCCGTGCACACAACATGGTTCAGGGTCGCCATAGTCCCAGGCAAAACGCCGTTTTTGCTGTCCAACTCATTCTTGCGCACCATTCAAGCCGTGATAGATACCGAACAGGGTACCCTCTGGAGCAAGTATTTGGGGAATTTCTTAGAAACCACCAAATCATCTTCAGGACTCATGTTGCTTGATTCGAACCAACTTTGGACGCATGAGGTTGCCCTGTGCCAAGATCGTGTGCCTGAGCAGGGGTCCGACGTGACCCACAGCACAAACCGAGAGAACATTCCCGATGAGCCAAAACAGCTGCCGGCCGTCTCTCAGTCATCAAGTCAGACAGGGTCTCATCCTCATCAGTCTCAGGGAAGTGTGCGAAAGCTCATCAACCAATTCGAACAAAAGAATATCAATGTGCTTCCGTGTCAGCCATCAGTGCGATCTCAAACTCGGAAGCCATCTCCTTGCAAGCCAAGCGATCATGTCCTCCTTGAGCCAGAAGTTGAACACGTACATCCAGGGGGTGAAGAAGGAGGACGAGAAGGAAGAGCTCCAGAAAATCGAGCAGATGACTCTGCCTCAGCTCCAAGAGCTCAAGATATCGTTCGGCAAAGCAAAGCTGGGACAGTCGTACGAACAGGCATTTCGCGACCAATCCTGGACGAAGTGGTTCATCCAGACGTACGAGACAAGCCCCAAGCCGGAGCATCGCAAGTTCATCCGATTCGTCACGTTGAAGCTGGATGAAGAACCCATGCCATATGCCCCGAAAGCTCGTCCGATCCGCACCAAGATGGAGAGTCACCTCTTGAGCCCTTCTGCACAAGAGACCGGAAACATTCCAGCCGTGACCTCGGAGGAAATGGAAGATCCATGGGAGATTGCGGAGGACGACCACATCATGTGTACGACCGCCAGCACGAGACGGACCAACGTCTGAATCGCATCGAAAATGCATTGACTCTGACGGCCATCCTCAAGCACCTCGAGGGTCAGACATCACAGCCCTCGGAAGGTCCGCAGACCTGGGCCCAAGTCAAGCAAGAGCCACAGTGAGCTCAGAGATTGAACACATTTGTAACTTGAGCGAACTTAGTCAAAAGAGCAATCAAGAAGCATTCGCATTCGACTTTCAAAAGGACCATGAACAAACATATAATCGAAGGTGTCTGTACTGGACTCAGAAATTTCGCTCAGAAGTTCCAAAAGGTTCTGAAGGTGGTCAAACCAAAACAGCAACGATCGTTTCTGTTTGAAGTCATGTGTTCAAAAGAAAGTGAGCTCACCCGTCAAAGCTTGCAACAAGGGCTGATCACAAAAAGATTTGGGTATGCAGAAGGGGATCTAAGCACAGAAATAGGTCGCCGCAACCTCTTTTGCCATCTTGTTCGAGATAACCCCAAGCATGTGTGGATCAGTCCGACCTGTGGACCTTGGTGTCGATGGTCGACACTTAATATGAGCAAGAGTGACGAGCTTTGTTCGGCCATTTTGCAGAAACGGAAAGACCATGTTTGGCAAATCGCATTTGCAATCGTATTGTGCGAATATCAAGTTCAGCATTCTCAACACTTTCATTGTGAACAACGATCAGGGTCACACATGCTGAACATGCCCTGTTTCCAGCCGATTCTGCAAATGACAAAGCCGTGTACTTTTGACCTGTGCCGAGTGGGAGACCTGCGCCTGCCGTCGACGGGCATTCCAATTCGGAAGAGATTGTGTGTTTGCACCACGTCCGAGTCCCTTCAAGTGGCTTTGAACCATCGTCATTGTAAAAGGGATCATGAACATCACCCCATTGCAGGTTCCACGAATGTCAATGGTCAATCCATTCCGGTCTCAAGTTTCACTGAATTGTACCCTCGGAAATTCGCACGACAGATAGTACAAAGTCTCCGAAAAGAGGGATTAGGACCATGGGGTATTTTTGCTGAAGATGAAGAGCATCCCACAAAACGTCGAAGACTAGATCATAAAAGCCGACCATCAGAAATCCGTCTTCTCACGGAAGATCCGTCTTGGGATGACATCATGAAAGTCGCAGACGAGACCGCTCCAAGAGTGGGCATCCAGGTCCTCTCAGATGGACCCCTTGTGCAGGCGATTCAGCGAAAACATCCAAATCATCGCATCAATCACCTGGTCCTCTGTCGTGGCACGGATAGAATGGTAGGTCCTCATGTTAGGCTAGAACAAGGACAAGCACCTCTCAGGAAATTTGTTTGCATTCGTCGCAGGTTTGAAAGTGTCGAAGCAGAGGACCAGCGCTTCTCTGCTCGTCAAATGAGAAGACCATGTACGCCTGCCAGATGTGGCCTCACCATTTTTGCCAGAGCACTGCAATCCGAGGAATCACCCGCTTCAGATTGCCAGAAAAGGAAAGATCACCCAGGTGATCACACGGAAGAGGAACCCAAAAGCAAAGCACCCCGAAATTTCGATCTAGACAAAGCCGAGCCAGAACAAAAAGATCAAGTATCAGAAAGACAACTTCGAGAAGTAGTCGACCTGGTCTCAGAAAAACATGGTCCCAAGATGTTAGCATTAACCCCAGAAGAAAGAAGCTGGGTACTCAAAATTCACAAGAATATGGGTCACCCGGGGGTAGATAAGTTGAAGCTGTTCTGTCAACAAATGGGTTGTGAAGAACACATGATCAAAGCCATCGAAGACCTTCGATGTTCGACATGCCTCGAACTAAAAGGACCAGATATCGCCAAACCAAGCGCAATTCATGAACAAGTAGATTTTGGAGACCTCATCAGCATGGATGGCATCAAGTGGACCAACAAGACAGGAAAACAATTTTTCTTTTACCATTTCGTCGATCAGAGCACTACCTTCCATGTGGCACATGTGAGCATCAGCCATGGCACTCAAGATGCCATTCACGCCCTGATGCATGGTTGGATCAAATGGGCTGGACCACCTGGAACTCTCCTGGTGGATGCCGGTAGTGAGTTCTGCACGGAATCCTTCCACGTCTTCCTTCAAGAATATGACAGTAAGCTGAGAATGATCGCTCCCGAAGCCCATTGGCAGAACTCCCGAGTAGAAAGACATGGAGGTATTTTACAACACATGCTAGATAAAATGGACCATGAGAAAAGCATCAACACCGGCGAAGAACTTGAAATGGCATTGCATTTTGCAACACAGACTAAGAATAAATGGTCAAGACATCGAGGTTTTCCGCCCGAAGTACTAGTGTTTGGCAAGATGAGTAAATGCCCCGCATCCATCAGCAGTGAACCATCACAAGCTTCCCACTTGAAAGCTTTGCAGGAAACATCCGAAGGCATTCGATTCCGTGAACATCTTGCAGCTCGTGAACGAGCCCGAAAAGTTTTCAGTGAGGTCGACAATTCTCAAGCTCTTCGTAGGGCACTGGTTCAAAGGTCTCGACCACAAAGAACAGTGTACCATCCAGGGGATTGGATAATGGCTTGGCGGAAAGACTCACAATGGTTTGGACCCCTCAAAGTGGTATTGCAAGAAGACAAGAATGTGATCTGGGCTGTGCTGGGAAATCGTTTGTTTCGCATTGCACCCGAACATGCCAGACCATTGTCAGCCATGGAAGAACTCCGACATCAGAGCATCATTCGGGACACCAACATGGATAAAACACTAGAAAGCATTCGAGCCGGAAACACTCGTTTTGAAGAAATACCAAGAGGAACTCCAGATGTTTTGCCTGTAAGTCCAGAAGCACCATCTTCTAGAACAAGTGAACTACCAACCAATGAACAACCTGATCAAGAACCAGATCTTCCAGAAGAAAACGATCCATCACTTCCAGGAACCGAAAACGAATACACACCTACAGTTCCAGATGAGGAAACACAAATCGAAGCTCCAGAAAACATCCCTGTACCAGAAGATGATGAACTTTGGTGTGAAACCTTCAATCTTCAAGAAGATGAAATGTGGAAGTTCGAAGTCGAGATAAGCCGAGAAGATATTGACCAGTTCCGAAATTCACCGTCAGGATTCGAACATGCCTTCATTGTGTCCGCTGCCAAGAAACAGAAAACCGAAGTCAAGCTCTCAAACCTAACCAAAGAAGAACGTCAGCTGTTTGAGGAAGCAAAAAGCAAAGAAATTGAGAGCTGGCTGGACACCAAAACGGTATGTAAAATCCTCCGTCATCAGATTCCAACCGAAAACATTCTTCGCTGCCGCTGGATCTTGACATGGAAAGACGCAGAAACAAACTCACATTTAGGAGCCGACACGAAACAGTCAAGTTCGAGAAAAGCCAAGGCCAGGCTAGTCATCCTTGGATACCAAGATCCCAGCCTCGAACACTTAGACCGTGATTCGCCCACACTCTCCAAATTGAGTAGAAACCTGTTGTTGCAAATGAGTGTTTCCATGAGGTGGACCATTGGCAGCTTTGATGTGAAAACTGCTTTCCTTCGGGGCAGTGTGGATGACACTCGTGTCATAGGCCTTGAACCGCCAGAGGAACTTCGCCAGAAACTTGGGTTGCGACCCAACGAAGTCTGCCGCCTTCTCAAAGGTGCATATGGTCTTGTGAACGCCCCACTGTTGTGGTACAAAGAATTATCAAGGGCTCTAGAAGAACTGGGATTCACGGTGTCGCCTTTTGCCCCCTGTTGCTTCATCTTGTATGCAGAAGACAATTCTCCACAAGGTTTCATCGGTATTCATGTTGATGATGGTTTGTTCGCAGGAAATGAAGAGTTTCACCGACGAATCAATCTTCTCGAAAGCAAATACCCTTTTGGAAGTAGGAAAGAAAAGGATTTCGTATTCACAGGTCTCCATGTCCACCAAAAGGAAGACTTCTCCATAAGGGTTGATCAAACACAATATGTCAAAGACATAAGTCACATCAGCATTCCAAAAGAAAGGAGAAGCATGCCCGATGATCCAATCACTGAAGATGAAAGACAGAAACTCCGAGGAATCATCGGTTCTCTACAATATGCATCGGTAAACACACGACCAGATCTTGGTAGCCGACTAAGTCATCTCCAAAGTCGCATAAATTGTGGTCAGGTCAAAGATTTGATTGAATCAAACAAATTGTTACACGATGCCAAAGTCCACTCCCAAGTGGCAATTCGATACCAATACATTCCCCTGAAAGACATCCGACTCGTAGCATTCTCAGATGCTTCTTTTGCCTCTGAGAAAAATCTCTCAGCCCACCAGGGCATGATGATAATGACTGCACACCAGAACATAGGCAAGAATCTCAAAAGTGCAGTAAACCCAATAGTGTGGTCATCAAAGAAAATCCAAAAGGTAGCAGTAAGTACACCCTCAGTGGAGGCCATGGCACTGGCGGGAACGGTAGACCTCCTTGCTTGGTGCCGTTTGTACTGGGGATGGTTGCTCGATCGTTCATGCCAATGGAGGTTAGGTGATAAGACACTCCTCAAGCTTCCCCCTGCATTCTCTGCCTTAAAGGAAGAAGGTGACCTCGAAGATCCAAATCCAACTCTGACAGATAACTTGCAGAAACTACAGAAGATAGGCAAACCAGATTCTTTGATGGCAACAGATTGCAAAAGCCTATACGACCTCATCAGTCGTACTGCTCCACCAGCTTGTCAAGAATATAGAACATTGTTGCAGGCGCCTGATTCGAGAACATCTAGCAACAGGAGTATCCGTTAGATGGGTACCGTCCAACGCACAGATTGCAGACAGTCTCACGAAAATCATGGATAACACCAATCTCAGAGAAGTTCTCAATATCGGTAGGTATCAACTGAAGGACGAAGATGAGCTTCTAAAGCACCGCTCAGACCGCCGATCTCGATTGGCTTGGATCCGTAGCCACCAATCCCAACTAGCTGCTCCAGAGCTCACCAAAGTCTCTGAAAAAGGGAAAAGCCAAGACGTCCCTGACATAGACCAATCCTGCTCTCCCATTTAAGCCTTGAGAGAACAATTAAAACCAAAGTGCAAGAAGTGTGTTCCAAAACCGGCATACAGAAGTCTAAGTTGAGAAGACAATGTCTGACATTGTCCTAGGGAAACTTGGAAGTCCGTTTTGCTTAGATGGCACTTGTCTTGAGAAGTTCTAAAATAACATCTTGAGGAAAGACTGTACACAGTCTGAATAAGATCCAATGCAAAGGAACATGCTTGACAAACAAAAGAATAGAATGAATGTCAAAGCAGTCGCGTGTCGCATGTTCCGATTCGCACTTCTCTCAGGACGATCGTCCGCTGCCATTTCACTGTCAGGTGGGAGGGCAGGGTGGTTCTTGAGCCATCTCTCGCGGGTGTGGATCACCCAGTTGCAGGGCAACTTCGAGCCGGTGTGTGTGGAAAGAGCTGCGGACGTGGTTGGGCACAGGGTGCTTGGATAGAGTGTTTGGATCAGGGATCCTAGGCATTGCTTGTTGTTGAATTCACTTTCGGTTGGGTGTACCTCTTTGGATTGACCAGCCCCAACCGCCAGTCTCCAACACCAGTTGCAAACCCGGGGGGGTTTGTAAACATATATATATATAATATACTATATATATATAGAGAGAGAGGGAGAGAAGCCACTGCCACCCATCGAAGAACATTCAGCCAGGACTGTAGCGCGTGTGACCTCAAGCTGAAGGCGCCTGCGCCCCGCACACCCGTGCCCCGCGGTGCCGCGCCGCCTCTGCCGCGCCCAGCATGTGTGGCTCCCACGCCCGGGGTTGCGAGGGCGGGGCCCCTTCTTGCGCCGCAGGTGGGGTACGAAATGGGGAGTTGTAGACTTGAGGTCGAAATCCTTTTTCCAAGCACCTTTGGTGTAGACTTGAGGTCATTTCTCCAACACCCCCTTTTTGACCAGCTTGTGCTGGCTCTTGCGGAGAGGATGCTTTTGATTGCAAAAGCCGTCGGTTCGTCTCTTTCCTGCGGTGCTTCTCCGGTGGTTGGTGCGCGCGCCGACTTTCAGATGGGCCTCAAAACAGGAAGCAAAACGGACAACGCACCTGGATGTCACCAGATTTTCTCGCAATTTGTGGACACACGGATGTCTCTGCAGTGTCCCATTGGGATTTGAGGCATGTAGCTCTGCTATGAGGGAGTCGTATTGTAAACCCTTGATTTTCAACACACTCCCAGGATTCCAATGTCATCATGCGAGTAAAATTATCTTTCGGGGTATTTCAAAGAAACTAGTCATTCCAATTTCTCCTTGGATGGTTGATTTGTGAGTTTATCAAAACGACTGCAGCTGCCTTTGACTTCCAGATCCTGGAGCCCATGCTTGACTCATAACACCTGTTTGACCCAATGGTCGAGAAAAAGCACCCAACCTTTGACTCGCTTGTCCCAAAACCAACGTCGCAGGTCTTTGTTGACTTGGAGGCCGAGTTGTGGAGAGCTTTGAGGACCGGGAACGGAAGTCCGAGCTCCACGAACATCGGGAGCGTTGAAGTTTGCTCAATTTACGAGGATTTTTCGAGGGCTTGAGGGTTTGGAGCTCTGGAAGTTCGCAGGGTGACGTCCTTTTCAAGAGATTCGCTTGGCTCAGAAACGGGGGGCAACACACCCGGGCGTTTGTCCTGGCGGTCATTTTTCTGACGGCTTTCAAGGTTCAAGGTTTGAAGTTTCGGAGGATTCGTTTTGATCTGCTTGCAGATCGCAGGATGTTTCTTTTTGGTGACCCAGCCTGGACGCACGAATTTGACGTCTCCATGTCGAGGTATATACATCGATCTTGGCCACTATCAGTTGTGAAGCATGGAGACATATAGTCAGCCAATGTCAACCAGGTACCATGCAAAAGCAAACATGAACACCTGCGGTGGTTTTGGTAGATCTTCCAGCGCCTGCTTCTGCTTCATGTGTTAAGGAGCCTTCCAGCGGTTCTGCTGCTTCAGAGCTTCTGCCACCACCTGGATCGAGCCACCGATGAGCTCCGGCGACGCGGGAGCTGCTGTCGTGAAGTGGAGGATCCCTGTGCTGGCCTGGCGACCGCCTGGAAGTTCGTTAAGGAATCTGGGAGAATCAGTGGTCTTTCAGTGGATACTGAGAGTTTCCAAGTATCCAACTAGCTGTTGGCTTCAGCTGCGAGGATTGTGCTTGTTATTTTTCCACTCAAAAGGCACGAGATTTTCTAGCACACAGCGGTTTCAGCGTTTCCGAAGACAGGGTGGTTGTGAATATATATATATATATATTTGGGTTAAGTCAGTGCTTCTAGAGCTGGGCCATTTGAGGAGATGGTCCTGGCTTTTTGGGGTCGTGAGTTCATGCACCTTTGTTAAGCTCTGGTGACTTGGGCGACTCAGCACAGGGTATATACTATATACCATCCCATTCGACCGTCCTTCGGCTCCAGGAAGCGGCTTTCGACATGAAGAAAAGCCAGCGATGCTTGAACTGCATGGCTTTGAGACTGCAGGGCAGTTGATGTTTTGGCATGTGGGCAAATGGTTGCGAACAAGCGCTCCTGAGACCCAACGAAAGGCACCTGCGAGTATGCCCCCACTTGGACGACCCAGCTGGCGAACCGGAGCCGGCAAGAGGTTCATGGAACACCTGGTGAACGGTCATATTACTATCCCTTCCCAACAGGTCAACCATTACATTCTACCAATTGGTCGGCAGAAAACCCGTGAGGTTGGCAGAGCCAGGGTTGAACTGCATCAGACTGTACTTGGCTGTTCAACGTCGGTGCCCATCCTCGTTGGTTTTCCGCTTCCTCGCCCCTTTCGCCGTTTTTTCTCCCCCGCCATAGCGCTTGCAAAGTGTGTCCCTAGTAAGCGCGATATACCGTTACACCGATACACTGATTGATACACCGATACACCGATTGAAGCAAATTGAGCTTCTGAAGCTCCGCTGTCACTTTGCTTTTTGCAGGCTCCGCAAGAAGCAAAATGAGCCTCCCAGCCACCAAACGGCTTAAAAGCATAACGGCGTAGACCCGCCACCAAACAGCAGAACGAGGTAAAAGCGTACCGGCGTACATACAGTAGCCGGACGACCAAACGGCGTAACGGCGTATGACTACACCGGACGACCAAACGGCATAAATTAGCCTAGGGCCTAAGTAATCACACTTAAGGACACACTTTGCAAGCACGCAGCCCCCACACCACCCCCCCTCTCGGTTTGACCCGTTTCCACCGCGCACCTCCCCGAGGGCTTCGGTGGTTGGGTGAATTAGTCCTCAGCACGGCGCCGACCTGGACGTCTCTCTTTTCCTGCGCCAACGACAACGACGCGTCCTCCGCAGGCGGGAGCAGTGCGATAGTGGTGTGGTGGCTTGGTGGGGCTGGAGACGGGGCCACGCCTGTTTTTTTCGGAGATTGGTTGCTTGGGGACCTGACTGAAGAGCCAAATCTGGTGGCGAAATCCCGGATCCCTCGTTGGGAGTTGTGGGTCCAGGGGGTGTGGGGGAGTGAGCCTGATGAGTAGAAGTCGGCTTGAAGTGGCTCTTCCGCAACACCCTGCCTAGGGGGCCCGACCGGTGCGACCCAAGCGAGCTCTGGCGCTACCGCTCTGTGGGCAGCTGGGCGGTGTCAACTCGAACTGCCTGAGTGGTGGGGGCTCTTCACGGAGCCCGGCGGCTCGGCAGGCTCAGCAACGACGGCAAGCCGTCACCTGCAAGGAGCTTTGCTAGGTGCGCTGTGGCACTTGAGACAGGCACGGAGTGGTGGGGATTGGACCGCGCTCCAAGATGAGCTGGATGACCCGACATCGCCTGTGACTCATTCCAGCTGCTAGGTGGATTGGCAGCAGAAGCACTGCTGGTGGCGCCACTTGGCCCTTCTCAGTGGTGCAAAGCTGGGCGCTGAAGGTGCGGAGGAAGATGGAGAAGGTCAAGCGCGTGGAGAGGTGAGCGGGTTTTTGTGATGCCACGCCGAAGACCCCCCAAAACGGCCAAGGCTGAACAGATCCCTGATAGAGGTGGTGGGATGCCAAGCACAGTGGGAGGTCACTCAAACAGCCAAGCGTCCTCCTATGTCGAACTTTTCTGGTACACACTTCCCATCAACATATTTTCGGGCACCCACAGACCCGTCTTTGAGGCTCAGTCCTGTCCTCGACTTGTGGGTTGCCAGAACCGATGTGTTGGAGGGGCCTTGAAACAGACCATGACCAGATCTCAGATCTCCATTGAATCTGCCAGGTCTGCCGGACCTCACGTCTCTGACTTGCTGGATCTCGCAAGAGTTGCAGGACAGGCTGATGCTTTCGAGTCGGTACTTCGAAGTGGTTTCGATTCTGAGAGGCCACGCTCAAAAAACCTGAGACTAGTGACTAGTGGGTACCAGGGGCGCATCAAAAACATATCAAATACCTGGGCTTTACTCAGAAAAAACATGGTCTTTGTGTGTGAAACCCTATTTTTCATGGGTTTGAGGTCGGCTGGTATACGGTGCGCCTGAAGAATAGCAAGTCCTCCAAATCCGGTGAAACTCTCATCCAGCCGTTGCTCATTCAACCTCCATGTTGATGCTTCGTTCCTCCAGAGACAGACCCTCCGAATGTCCCGCGTTCGGCAGACCACACCAGAGACCCCGCCCCCCCCGCCCCCCCAATGGCTCGAAAATTTCCATCTGCTTCCACCGCCGCGCTACGCTCCGACGCTCCGGACGACGCCTAGGACGCCGGACGATGCCTTCGCGGCGGCGCGGCCGACGGCGGTGCGACGCCGGTCGGGGCGTGGGACGCGCGTCTGGCGGCGCTCGGCATGGCGGTGCTGAGGGCGCTGCTGGGACAGGCGCCGCGGGGTCGGGTGGGAGAGTCTGGAGTTCGTGTCGATCTACAGTCTGCTGTCCTGGACCCAGAATGAAGTCGAGCAAAGGTTGAAGTTCCAGATTCTGGTCTGTGTCATTTATCTGGTGTTTTCTATGACAGATGGTTTGGGGTGAGTGACGGTGAGTGGGTGCTGGGGTAGCCTAAGGTCCTTGAACGAGGCAGTTTTCTTTGCTGTTCAGGGAGGTCAGGACATGTAGGCCAAAAGGGTTTTGATCAAAGGCTCGTTCATATGTTGCACCTCATCCCTTTGTTGGGATGATTTCTCCTTTCTTCCAATTTTCTGTCAATTCTAGAAGTCCAGTCCTACTCCTTCCTTTCAATTCAGGTCACCACCTCGTCTCCATCGCTTCGCAACCCGGGGCGACCGAGGAGCTCTTCGATCGCTTCCCAAACTGGGGCGACGGTCACTTGTCGCGGCTGCTGGGGCGGCTCACGAGCAAAGCGTGGCTCTCCAGGTGGGGCGGCTCGAGAGCGCGAGCTTTTCCCAGGTCGAAATGGGTCAGTGGCATGGGGCCGCATGGGGGAGTGGAGTGGCAGCTGATCGGCATCAGTGAAGATTTTTAGGACACATTCCAAGGTGACCCCGGGTTTGTTCTTACTTTTCATGGATGCTTCATCTGAAGAAGTCACGAACAAATCGCTCATGGCCGTTGAAAATGGCCCCGACCGCGGGTTGACTGCAGCTATGCCTGGGTCCCCGTCATCCCGGACGTCCGTCCGCGCCGTCCGTCGAAAACCGCTTGTGACCAGACCGATCTGGGTGCCACCCGCTGAAAAAGGACCGGAGTAGATAGTTTGTCATCCTGGAGTAGACAGAAGATGGGCCAGGGAACATCCCAAAGCCAAGAGGATACTGGCCATGTGTCCATGTGTTCCGATCTTCTTTCTAGCTAGCACCTAGAGGTACCTCTGTTTTTGGAGCCAAAAGCGAAGGGTTCTAGGCACTGGAAGGATGGGCATGGTGGTTCAGGGCTCCCCAACGGTCACCCAGGAGGTAGAAAGTCTTCTTCGATGCCTTAGGCCTTGGTTGGCTTGTTGCCATCCTGGTTCCCACTGGCAACTCAGACGTTGGATCTCGAGTCAGGACCACTTTCACTCACAGTTGTTCATCGAAACCTTGGGGCATTTTTTTGGGGGGTTCATCCATCGAAACGTTGGGGTGGTACCCGCATAGATCAACCGAACATGGACAGTGAACGAACCACACCACAGGAGAGCTGAGAGACTCTTCGAAAAGGAGTTGCCCGGTGGCTGGGAGATGGACCTCTTGGATGATGAGGTGCCATGTTTGATTCAGGTCCTTCAAGGGGAGTCAGTGCTTCTCCCTTGGGAGCTGAAACATGGAGCATCCACAACCCTTTTGGATGGTTGCATTGATCCGATCCAAGGATGTATAGAAGGATCTTTTTTCACACGCTTGGTCGTGGTCTCATGGTCTTTGGTGGTCCTGTGATTGCAGCTTTTGGTGCGTGAGCAGGCCTGGTCCGTGAGGAAAGCGCTTTCCAGAGCCTCCGCCCAAATCGGGGAACCCGAGGCGAGCTCAGACTGCGACTCCGGCCTGCGGCTGTGCGCTTTGGCCGGCACCATACTGGTAGATGCTCACGGGCAAGTGATGTGTGACTGGGATGAAATGGAGCCAGGTTTACCATCGTTGTGCTCCCTTTTTCATGGACCGGTTTGGCGCTTGAGCCGATCGAAAAGGAACCCCCGTTCAACTGCGTTTTTCGGCTCAGCCGAGACATGGTCGTTTTGAGTCTGAGGTGTGAAGGAGGCCCTGCTGCCCTGGCTGTGGCCACCGGAGCACCTGCTGATGGCCTGGGCGATGTCCACTGGTGTTTGGGAGGAGGAGCATCAATCAGTTCTGACCAGTAGAAGCAGGGTTTTGACAGAGGATCCTTTTGCATGGGTGAAGCTCAATATCTACCTTCCCAAGATCATCTGACTCATTTGCGTTGTGTTTGATCGTCGAACTTGCTGTGTGTGGATGATAGGAGGAGCTGGGAGGATTCTATGTGATTCCTCATGACAGGCGCGAGGTTTGATGTGTTGCTCTGGATATCTTCAGATGGCAGCGGGTGATCCAAGCAAATGGCTTTGCCCAACAATTCGGATCAGATTTTCTGGAAAGTAGGGCATTGCCTTGTGGGCATCGTCATCAACTTCAAATTACTATGGAGACTATAGTCCTTCACCGTTCCCGCTTCGCCCGAACGGAGCTTCTTCCCGACCTTTTCCATCCCTTTCGCTTTCACCCAGAAGTGCCGCAGCACCGGGGATTGGTCTCTTAAAATCAAAAGCCCCACCAAGTTACAGTTACTATCTGTTACTATTATATATAGACTCATAGACCAAGCTCCCAACGGAGGTTGAAGGACCCTATGACTAACCCAATTAGATACCCAAGCCTCAGTCCTTTCTCAGGTCACAGGTCACAGGTCACATCTCTTGGTCCACCAAGCTCGAGCCTTCCCACGTTGAACCACCCGTCGCCGCATTCACCCACGGAAGACGGAGGCTGCGAGCGGAGACGAACGGAGACCGCGCGCGGAGGGCGAACGGTTCTGCAGGTCTGAGCTGGTGAACTGCAGCTGTTCCGCGCAGTTCGGGGAGTCCAGCACTCCAAACCTCATGGAGGAGAGTGAGGAGGAGCCCTTTGAGGTTCCCGCTTCTTTGAGTCGCTAGGCCGTGAAGAGGGGAGAACAGGTAGATTGCTGTACACGAAGAAGAAGAAGAAGAAGAAGAAGAAGAAGAAATAGGAAGACCTCCCTGGCACGGCTAGGCCGCATACCGGTAGACTGGTCTATTTTCATTCTTTCACAGGGGGTCGTTGCCAGGTCTCCCATGTCTTGAGCTACACATCCATTCTTCCTGACCAACCAACCCTGGACCCCAAAGGGAGGCTCTCCTTCTCTCCTCGTGCCACCCGTCCCGTCGACGATGACCACGACGACCTCGCCTTTGCACCCACGCCGTGGGACCGGCGGGACATGAGTCCATCGGCGAGCCGGTTTTTGACTTCCAATTGAAATTGAAGCGATACCGATACCATCTTGGGAGGGCCTTTTTCACCTTGTTTCCGAGGGTGGATGTCGGGGAAATGGTCGGGCATTTGTGCCGCTTCTTGAACCTACTCTTTCACCAACCAGGACGCTGAACAGAGCCAGACCCAGTTTGATTGGGATACATGTTCCTCTAGCAGGTCCGGCCTCCGGGTCCTTGGCCTCCGGTCCCTTGGTGGACTGTTGCCACTTAAGGACTCTTGGAGCCCTGGGCACCCGAGACTCAGTCCGAAGCGGACGTCCCGCCCGAAGCGGACCGCGCGCACGTCCCCGTTCCGGGCGCGCACCTGGAGGCGGGAGGAACGCGCAGCGAAGCCGGAGCTGGACTGGGTTGGCTCGGGGTTTGGGTTTAGACACGGGGAGAGGACGGTTTTTCTGCGGATGCAGAGCCTGAAATCCCAGTGGAGGATTTCTGCATGGATGTGTGTGGAGCTAAGATCCATATTCGCCAAGTACATGCAGACTCTGGGATGATATCATAATGCAATACATTTTCATAGGTGGTTTTACTGTATTCATCAAGAGTCCTACCCTTGTTCCAGCGCCTCGGAACTGCTATCAGCCCATTGGTCCTTCAATCTCCTGTCGTGACCCACAGACAGATTGTCTTTAAATCCTGCAATGTAGACTGTTGATGCATACCATCCCCCCGGATTTCTCCAGTAGACTGTTGATGAATACTACAGTATCCCCCTGGAGGATTGAAGATGTACAACCGGTCGAGACGGTTCTATGGATTAACTGATTAACCGTCTACCCTGTCGCCGCGAATCCGCGAATCACGGAAGTGGACTGTGGCCGAAAGACACCTTTTTCCTCTAGAAACAGGGGGTGAAGTTCACTTCCATGTTTGTTGGAGGGAGGTAATGAACTGATTCGATGGCAAAGTCACTGGCGTCACCTGGCATTGGGGAAAGAGGCACGGTTTTTGGAGTCGTGCTTTGGAATTTGGCAGTTCTTCCATCAACCGAGCCGGCTGCAACGCACCAAGTGGCGTTGTTCGCCTGACCGGAAGACAAGCTACTACATACTTGAGCCAAGCTACTAAACTCCGAAGACATCCCAAAAGCATGTGAAAGAATGGTTCAAAGTCCCATTGCTCGGCGTCCGTTGGTTGGGGATGAAACCAGATAAATCCCACGTTTGTGATCCATGCTAAGAAAAAAAGGGCCTCACTAGAATGCTCTTGTGCTTAGAACGCTTGCTTGCCATTGCATGATAATGCGCCGTAGGCCTTCTACCAGCGCTTCCGGTCAGCGATGTTGGACGCGTATTTTCTGCAGAAGAAGCAGGTGAAGGCCGGATGGATGGAGAAACGGCATCCGTTCCGGTCGTCGGCATCGAAGTGGGTCCGGTGGTCGCACGTGCAGCGCGGGAACTTCCGCCACACGCGGGGAGGGCGAAGTCCGTTAGACCCCCAAAACACGGAGGTCTGGAGGTTTCTGTTCGAAGGTCTGCCGACCCCTTTTAGGGGGAATTGGAACTACCTTCCCTCGGAAGGTCATGAAGATGGAACATGGAAATCCCAGCTGCCTGTCCTCCATATTACAGTATATATATATATATTATCTCTGACATCTCTGACTCTCCATTTCTCTGGAGCTCGGGTCTCCCGCTTCCATGTCTTGTCCATTCCAGGTGATGAAGGATGGCCGCTGGGTGACCTCCTACCTCCGCTTCCACCCCCAAAAGCAGCGGCCTCTCGGCTGCGCTCGGTGACTCGACGGGCCCGGCCACACTGGCCAGCAAAGGGGAGCTTTCCACCCGAGCCGATCCGGTCGATTCGGGACCACCCTACACTGCTTAGAGGTCACCATTGGACACCCATTGGAAGTGCTAGGAAGTTCCATGTGATTTTGGGAGATCTGGAGATCTTCGTGGCTTTTCTGACGCTGACGGAGTGGCGTGGGTTTTTCTTCGCTGAGAGTGACACCGAAAGTGGTGAAGTGAAGGCCGTGCAAGCCTTCGGGCCCCGCTGAGCGGTGTTAGGCCAGTTCTGATATTTTTGGGTGGCTCCAAGCCCCAGTGTTCCGCATGGAGAGCCATAAATAAAGATCCAGAAGTTGGCCAGTCTCAAAGACACTCTGAGAGACGGTCAAGACATAAAACCACCTGGGAAGGGTTTGTAGCTTCTGTTGGTCTTTTGTCTCCTCCAAATCCACTGAAATCAAGATCAACGGCTCAGACCCTCCCTTTCACCCGCTCGACCCTCCCCGTGCAGCAGCGAGGTTCGTGCTGCCCGATGATGATGAGCCCATCAGTGCCAGTGAGGTGCGGTTTGAGGAGGCCGTCAGCGAGGTGTGGAAGACCCAGCAGAGGCGGTTCCCGGTGGGCTTCACATTCTTTTTAGGCTTCCAAGAATATCTGGCCGTCCCCGATCCAGGTTGAAGATCCCACGAGGGAGGGGTGCTCAAAATGTTTTTCACCGGGTAGAGAAAGCAGTCCAAGGTTTGGAGATTTTACCTGGTGTGCACAGGGCTCCGTCGTTGTGAATTTGAGGTGGAGGCGGCCACACCTTCAAGAAGCTTTGGGTTTTGGAACTTAGACATATACTCCAAAACCACCAAAGGATCACCCTTGAAGTTGAAGAAACTAACACGAAGTCATGCCCCGTACTTCAGGGGTCTTAAAGTTCATAGCATTTCTTGAACCCAAGACTCCTCCAAATCTTCCGCAACGCCTAACGCCTATGGGCATTTTGAACATCTCTGAAGCTCCGAATCCTTTTCCACCCCCCCGGACCCCCCCCCCCCCCCCCGGGTCATAGCTCGAAGTAAAAGAAAGAAGCACCGCCACCCGCCACCACCGCCCCAGCGTCGCCAACCACCTGGTTCCACCGCCAGGAGCCGGCAAAGAGCCTGGACTTCCGTGCGGAGATGAGCGTGGGCGGCCCGCGCGGACAGACGCTCCTGGCGCTCGGCGTGGAGCGCAGCGCGCGGCAGCCGCGCTTCCATCGGATGCTAGCGCCAAAGCAGCGGGGAAGGGGTGGGGAACTTTGAAGAGGTGAGTGGTGCCAGTTGGTAAAGCACGGAGCGGAAGTCTGGTGAGGATGGTTTGTGAATCAATCTGCTCCTGTATGTGTCTTGGAATTTGCCTAAAGATACGGGACAGCCACCCCCCCCACTTGATTTGACTATGAAAGTTCAACACCCTTGGCAATCGCTGGTTGTCTCTTCATTCATCAACTTTCTCATTCTTTCGACAAGGGTTTCCGGCCCAGGCATGAGAGTATGTTGAGAATCCGGCACGAGAGTTCTTTCCTGAGTTTTGCAAAATGAAACCCAAGAGGCACAATGGATTTCAACCCGACCGAACACACCAGTGGCTGCCACCGGCCTTTTGGTGAGTCTAGTCCCCTCTCGGCTTCTCCGAAGAGTTCTTGGAAGCTAGGGGGAGTTTGGGCCCTTTTCTTGTTCCCTTTTTTTGGTTGCCACGCAGCGCTATGGAAGCCAAATGGCTTCCAAAAAGCAGCGGAGCTCTCTCGCCAGCCGATCGGTGCCGGCACCCCCAGCCGACCGCGAACGCGCGACTCTCGCTCGGCTCGCCGCTCGCTGCCCAGGAAGTATGGCAGCGATCGCTTCTTGCGGGTTCGATGGAAGCAAGAGAGCCCTGTTCCGCGCGGTGTTCGGGCCGGTTGCGTGGTTTGGAGCGCGGTGTTCGGGCCGGTGGATTGGAGCGCGGTGAACGGAGCATCTAACAGTTTTGGGGCCCATGGGAAGGGAAGGTGAACGGTCGAATTCACATTGCCGGGGGTGCGAAAGGCGAGATGCTGAAGATTTCTGTGAGGAATCCCTAGGCATGGGCGAGTCCCAGAGTTGGGCCCTGGATCTTTCAACCTGCGCAACATGTCGCTTTTTCCGTCCATAAAGCCAGGTTCAGGTGCGGCAGGGAGGAAGATCCCTTTCTGTTTTGCCGGCTGCAGTTTTTGGCAGACAGCGCCCCCTTCTCTTCGCCTCGCCATGTTCATCTCCGAACATCGGCAAATGCTGCGACAGATGTTCCGTGGATGATGCGGCTTATGAGATCGAGAGCGAGAGCATCCAAAAATCATTTTCCAGCACCACCCAGTTCGGGTGATTATTGGATGGACCATACATAAGTCAGCAAGGTCTATAAACTGTGTACTGAACCATTTGAAACTGGGTGGTGCTGGTTCGAAGCCTTTGGATGAGTTGCTCAGAGTATGACTCTAATGGTGCTGGGTCGCTGAAGTCAATCTGCTGATGTCTTCCAAAATAATTAGAGATCCACCATGTGTCGTTGAAGTCCATGAAGCGCCGAAAACATGTCCCTGCAACATAGCTCCATGAGTTCTGGGCATGATGGTAAGGAACCTCTATGTAGATGGGTGCTTGGTAGCGAATGAAAAGAACGAACTTGAAGGAACTCTCTTCCAGCAGTTCCAAAGGGATGATTTTTTGGTGACCCATCCAGTGCGTAGATGTGACAGTGGTTCCCCCCTTTGGCCCCGCTCCAAGAGTCATCCTGAGATGGAACTGCTGGTGGGAATCCCTTCATGAGCCAATCATTTTGCTTTGGTGTGAAAGTCACGTCCATCCATCCTCCATCCCCATGTCGGACCCAGCTATAGCCCAGCCCAGCCCAGCTGGCTAGATGGGTCAAAACCAGAGAGCTTGGTTGACAGAAGGTGAACGGAAAAACACCCAGGGAGGACCAGGGCGAAACCGGCCGTTCCTTCTCACCCTGAGGAATGGGGAGAGCAGCTGCAGTGCTCAACAGCTGAAGCAGTGGCTCAGGGGCTTTGCATGGCTCGGTCGGTGGTGGGAGCTCTTGCGCCCCAACACCAAGCAGCTCGGCATTTCTGGAGATCTCATCAGTTCTGTGAGGTTTGAAAGCCAAACTCAGTGAGCTCAGATCTTTGGTGTGTCTGACGGGGTTGGTTTCTGGGTGAAGGAGGGCCTCCTTCTCACCTGCTACCCACCCCGTCTCACCAACAGACCCAACCCCCGGAAACGTGCAGGGTTTTCCTGCCCGGTCCGGGGAGCGATCGACTCGGTGACACCGCAAAGCGCGATCGACGGGCTGGGAGTGAAGAAGGTCCAAGCTGTAGAAGGTCCAAGTCTTCTCATTTGAAGAAGCCCAGTCGCGCCATCCGCAGTCGAAGCCAGTTCGCTAGCCAGTTGGTCTCTGGTGCAATCGATGATTGGTGCCAGGGGGCACAGCGACGTTGTGATAGCGCCGTTTTCAATAATGTAGACTCTTGATTAATAACCCCTCCATATGAAGAGGATTTTGCACTTAGGCATCTTGGCCCAAAGCCATTTGCCTTAGGGCACGCCGGGTTCCCGCGGCTCTGCTGCCTGTCTCCCGACAGGGGTGGAGCGTCCACCAAGGCCGTTGGCCGACTCGCCTGTGAGCTTTGTTGTGCCTCACGACCGTTTGCGCCATGGCTGGATCTTTTGACCATTTGCTGCAGGGCGCTGAGCACCTGGAGGACCCTTGGAGAGGCCGATTGATTTCCTTTTTGGAGGCTCATCGTTCAGCTGGTCACCTGCTGCATGTGGGTGATAGGATCCTCCTTGTTGGAAAGGTCGAAGCTGTGACAGATGCGGTGATTGAGATTGCACCTCTGGAATTTTGTCCGGGCCGTGGATTTGCTGAACCTACGGTGGGACAAAACAAGATTCGAATCTATGTGCCTGGGCTGAGCCGGAGATCAGCTTTGCCCGTTGTGGATGATGAGATTGTTTGCCATGGGAAACAAATCCGCACAGAGTGTTGGGATGCTCTTGCATTGGCGGAGGACACCATCATTATTCCCCGTGCTCATTTCAAGCCGCATGAACCTTTTCATGTGCTGCACTTATTTGCAGGAGGATTCGGTGGCTGGTCCCGGGCTATGCACTGGCTTGCCAGAGAGGTTCCGCACATCAGCATTGCCACCGAGCTTTTCGTGGACAACGATGACAAGGTGATGGATGTGTGGTCCTACCAGACAGGATTGCGATACCACAAAGGCAAATCAGTGAGCGCTGGACAGGTGAACTTAGCTGCCAAAGCTGGCCTGTGTACGAGCGTTGATGATCCCACGATCCTGCATTGTTGGAAATGTGCAAGCAACTCCGTTGCAACCGCTTCACCACCCTGCATTTCGTGGTCGCAAGGCGGCAAACGCCAGGGCTTGAGCTGTTCCAGCGGTTTCGCGATGGCTGAAACAGTCATGCTTGCTGAAGTGCACCAACCACTTCTCCTGTTTTTGGAGTGTGCAGATACCACAGTCTCACACGAGCATTTCCCCTTAGTGGAGAACATGTTGCATCTTATTGGGTACCGTAAGGTTTGGCACCAAGTTGTTGCAATGCACCACTTGTCCAATAACTCTCGCTCCAGATGGCTTGCAGTTTGGGCTCGTGTGGATTTAGCCCTTCGACCCCATGAAGCAAACTTCGATCTTCGGGCACCGCCATTGGTAAAATGGAATGATCCATCCAATGAATTTTGGACCCCAGAATCTTTCCACTGCCAGCTTCAACTGTCAGCGGAGGCACTTTCGAAATACGGAAACCCAGGGTTACTCCCACCTGCCAAACGTGCCAGGACCAATGCTGAGACCTCCACTCAGGAGACGCTTCAACTGAGGCTTGCTGACACCACTCAGCCCTTGCCGACCTTGTGCAGTTCATACACCAGGCAACACCTTTTGCAAGCTGAACATGTCATGGCCAAGGGCATTTTTGCTTCGTTGCAGATCGTTGCCGATAAAGTGTGCTTCTTATGCCCTACACGGTTTGTCCCACTGTTCGGCACTACAGACAAGATTGTACTTCCGAGTGATGCATCCTTTGCATTCCATATCCTTGGAAACGCCATCACTCAATCACAGGCGACCTTGTGCCTTGCTGTTGGGTTTCAAGCGCTCCTTGCTGAGGACCTGGCACCAGTACAACTTGTTCAAAAGGCGTGGGAACAGCGTCTCACAAGTCAGAATGCCCTTGTGCAAGTCTTCGAACAGTGGCTCACCATCAGCAGGGTCGAGGACATTGCTGCCTGCATGGTACCAAGGACCTTGCCCTTGTCCTTTGATGGTCCTTTGATTTCGCTAGAGATTGAACACTGCCACAACCAGATGACATGGCAAGCAAAAGTCCCACCCAAGACTTCCTTGTCCACCGCTGTCATTCTTACGATGTTCACCAAAGGAATCATGCCTGAAGCCTTTCGCTTTCGCACTAAGGACCACATGCTGCTCAGTGACATTACACTGAAGGATGCTTTCGCTGTCACTCCGCAGGTCCTATGTTTCATTTGGGACCGTCCCCTGGTTTCTTTTCGGCCTGTCTCCGCGTGCCCACATGAGAGTTCTGCATCAGATGCTGTGGTGTCTCCGACTTTGCCCTTCACTGTGCCAGGCGAGGATTCACAACCCATCACGATTGAGACTTCACCACCGTTTCAACCTGCTCCTGAGGCCTTCCAGGCACTGCTGCGTTTTCTTGAGTTCAACACTCATTGGCACCCCGCCACCAATCGATCCAAGCAATTGGTCTCCCTCCTTTGGGAAGCTCCACCTGGCGTGCTTACCGTCCAGCTTGACACCATTGTCCCGGCTGCGGACCTCCAAGAGCAACTTGCCACCCACTTTGGTGCTGGCACCTACACCGTGTTCCAGAGCCCATTCGCTCTCCCAAAGATTGCACCAGGACCTCTCTTCACTGTGAGGCTCCGCAATCATCCCAATGATGCGCTGGTTGTTTTCCAGAAACTCCAAACCGAAGTCTGGGTTCGAGTTGCAGCAGTCCCCAAGCAGATCCCACATGACACCTGCATCATCGCTGGTGACGGGAACTACACCATTTGCAGTCACAACAACAGGCCATGCTCTGTGGGACCACTCCACATTGCCAATGGTGATCTCTTGATCATTGAGCCTACTCCGACCATCCACGCTGGTGGCCACCATCGTTGGACGGAGAGACCAGAAAGCCTCCCACGTGGGGCCAACTTCACTGACAGGATCGCCTTTGCGATCAACACACATGGGTGGGTTGCATCGGACGAACTCCACTCCGCCATGACATACCTGACCAGGCACTTCCCCGAGACCATTGCTGAGTTCAACCTCCTGCGATGGAACTCTGACGGACACGAATTTGATGATGAGCTCTACGGAGAACCCAGATTTGCAAGTGCAGGCAGAACGGTCACGGCAATTCTTGTCGACAATCACTGGGCCTCCATTGAAGTCAACCGGATTGGCAATCTCATTCAGGTCCACGCTTTCGGGCTAACTCCACCGCTCGCCAATCGAGCCATCATCATCATGTGCCGCCTCCTTGATATCGCTCCACACCGTGCCCAGCAACACATCCATGCAGGGCTACCACCAGAACATCTCTGCGGCTGGTTCTTGCTCTTTCGCTACTACAGAATATGCCGCATCCATGATACGCTTCTCAGCTCTGTTGAGCTCTTCAACGAGCTGCCGCCAACCCGAAGAGCCGAAATCAGGGAGGCTTGGGAATCCGGCCAAGAAGACTGGAGAAGAGCGGGCGCCAATGATGGCCTACTCCTCTTTGCAACCAACTTGAGGACACACTTCCTCACACATCTCGCTGCCACGGCCACCCAGACCTCGTCGGTCGTGCCGGTACCATTATCAGTCCAATTCCGAGCCCAGACCTTGACCCCTGAGACGCAACCGCCAACGTCTCAGCCACCTCCCCCGGAGGATCCAGCACCACTCGAAGCAACACTGGGATCAACAGAACAACCGGAACCAGAACCTGTTCGGCATGACCCTGTCCACCACAGACTCCTTGAATGCCTTCAGCAGCCTGGCTGGCTTTCTTCGGATGTGCTTGATCATGCCCTGGACTTGCTTCGGTGGCAGTTCCCACAGGTCTGCTTCTGCCCGCCTGCTGTTTGGAGACCTGAGTTGCTTCAGGTATCTTACCTCGCAGGCTTGGAATGCCTTCCTGAGACTTTCAGCAACCTCATTGTGTTCATTCTGTGGCAGGAGCATTGGATTGTGTGTGAAGTGACTGTTCATGCGTGGGAAGCCTTCGTCCAAACCATTGGACCCATCGAGCTCATGCCTGACCTTACCAGCATTGTTGCTGCAGTGTGCATGCTGTTTCAAATCCAGGATGTTGTCCTCAACACTGCCACCACTCACTTTCGTGCCTTGCCTGGTTTGTACGGATGGACTTTGCTTTGGACTTTGTTCCAACGATTCCAAACGCGACCCTCTCAGGCATCACAACCACTGCTTGCTGCTTTGAGGGCGCACCCTCACTATGAGCTTATCCAACAGATCCAGTTGCGTGACCATGCTGTCTGGGAAAATGCTGAACCGGCGTTGCTCGAGTTTGCCTCAGCTATCCAACTTGAGTTCATGACGCGCATCATCCAGAATCGCGTCCCCTCCGAGCGAGCAAGAGGTGGAGCTCTTACGGATGTCTCTTCTAGCAGTGCTCCTGTTACCATCGGCAGCCACCCTGTCAGTGCTTTGCCTGCCTCTCGTGTCTTTGATCGGCTTCAGCTGTTTGACACGCAGCCAGGATGGCTTTTCTCTGACACTGCTGACTACTTGCTCGATTTCCTGCGGCAACATGATCCGGATACTGCGTACCTTCCTCCCATGCAATGGACTTTTGAAGGTGGTGCCACTACCTTCAACGACTTGCAGACCTCCGTCCATTCATATCAGAAGATCATTGGCCTTGTTTTGTGGAACACACATTGGATTTTGTGTGAAGTGCAATCCACTGTTTGTGCGCAGTGGATCTTCCTTACCGGCCCTGCTGAACTTCGACCGCATTCGATTGCCTGTGCAACAGCCATTTGC